TGTTGCTCTAGCAGATCCTGAACAAAGATGGCAGCGTGGTGGCAAGAGCTGCCAGGAGGTGGCGCCAGCCCTCAAACGCAGGCGCCACAGTTTGCTCAGCAAGAGGCACAGGAAATGTCTGAACTTGGCATTAAAACAACACGCGGGGCGGGGGTGGGGGGGTGTTCGGGAATGAAGCATCAAAGTTTAGAAGACTCCGTTCTGTCTCCTGGACACTAGGTTACATTCAGTGCACAGAACGGCTTCATGCCCTCGAACCTTTGCCCCAGCTGTTCCCTCTGCGGGGTAAACCACGGCTTCCCGGGCCACTCCCACCTGGCAAATACCTGGTCATCCTTCAAGGCTTCAAACAAGAGTCCCTCCTGTGAACCTTGAACAAATTAAATGGAAGAATGCCAGGAAAGCACATGACAGTGCAGGGCACATAGTAGGTGCTCGGTGAACAGGAGCTCTGATAGACACTGCAAGTGTTGATCTCCCTTCTCATTTATCTGTGTCTTGTTTCTACCTGGAGCCCCATGCCCAGCACAGCACCAAGGACATGTACATAAATATTTGTCAACGGGGCACCTGCGTGGCTGTCAGATGAGCGTCCGGCTCTCAATTTCAGCTCAGGTCATGATCTCACGACTTTGTGGGTTTGAGCCCCACGGCGGGCTCTGTGCTGGCAGTGCGGAGCCTGCTTTGGATTCTCTGTCTCCCTCTCTCTCTGCCCCTCCCCCACTTGTGCTGGCTCTGTCTCTGTCAAGATAAATAAATAAATGTTTTAAAAATGTGTCAAAAGAAAAACGGAGACTGCCCCCAACACCGCACCTCTGCGAAATTGGTCTTTGATCATTCCCCAAACATGCCTCTTCCATCACCCACCTCCAGACCTTTACAGATGCAATTCCTCCTTTCTTAGCACCCTTCCTCTCCTCTTCCTCCAGCTAACCTGACCCTGCTAGGCTATCTTCAGGTGCCCCTGGACCGTAACCCCAGGAAGCTGGGAGAATCTCCAGCATCCCCCACTCAGGGCCTGGCACACGGTGGGCCCATGAGAGAATGAGCCCAGGGTTCGGAGACTGGGGAGAACATTCTCAAGGTCATGGAGGCCCGCCACTTGTCCCCTTACAGGGAACCCCCACAGCTGGCGGATGTGCACCTTCAGCCATGGGTGAGGCCTCGGGGGCAAACCGTGACCTAAGGCCATGGTCCGCAACTGAGTAATTGTGCTTTATGATCCCTGCTGAGTGCAGACCGAAGGCTCACTTTCTGGGGAAAGGAGGGTGTGCCCATCCATGGACAGGTGAGGTATGAAGCCCAGCACAGGGCTCAGATTTGCCACAAGGACCCAGCGTAGCCCTGGAAGCAACATGGAAGCACTGGCCAGTGAGTCAGAAAGGTGTTCTATAGCCCCAGCTCTGTCCTGGCTGCTGGGGGGCTCTCCTCGAACAGCATACCTCCCCTTGCTGAGCCCCAGTTCCTTCGACAGCAGAGAAACTTCTACAATGGGGATGCCTTCCTGTTCCACCAAGTAGCTCTTCAAGAGAAGGTAAAAGAAAAAAAAGAAACTGACAGCAAATAATAATTAACAATACAGTAATAATAACAGGTGACGTTTATCGGGCAGTTACTCTTCACCCGGCACTGTGTTCAGTGATTTACGAACATCATGGCGTCCCAGCTCCAGCCTGGGAGAGGTACTTAATGGCTCTGGGCCTCAGTTTTCCCATCTGTAAAATGGGGATAATACTAGTATCTATACCACGCATTAAGCACTGTAGGCATTATTACTACTATGATTCCCCGTTTTACAGAGGACCAAAAGAGAGGACTCGAGTGGTAAACTCACTGGCTCACTGCCTTGATCAAGTGCCAGGGCCACACTGGTCTGAACACATGCTCAGGGCTGTGTGTCAGCCAGGCAGAGGCAGGGCTATGCAGATTAGCAGGGCCTCTGCCTGGGCAAGTCCCAGGCACCCTTCAGATGGCAGCAGTGGCAGAACAGCTGGCGGCCTTCATCCCCAGGGCCAAAGTCGTCTTGCTCCCATGTGAGCAAACGCACCGAGGGTTGTAGGCCCAGAGAGGGGCTGGCAGAGGCTGGTAGCAGGCCAAAGACACAGCCCTGTGGCAGAAAAGGCCTCAGTCCGAGGCTGGAAGCGGAAGAGGCTTACTCTCCATCCCAGCTCCCCAATGTGCTGTGTGGCCTTGGGCAAGTGGCTTGACCTCAGAGAGGTCTCCTCTGCTAAATGGGATTCATACTCCCTTCCTTGGCAGGTAGAATGGAGATGGACAAGGCCTGAGATGCAGGCTCAAAACACGGAGATGAACCTGAACCCAAACTGGAAACCAGCAGCATGGAGCTGTTAGTCAAGAGTGACGGGAATGTTGGGGCACCTGGGTGGCTTAGTCGGTTGAGTGTCTGACTTTCGCTTAGGTCATGATCTCGCAGTTCGTGGGTTCGAGCCCCGCGTCAGGCTCTGTGCTGACAGCCAGCTCAGAGCCTGGAGCCTGTTTCAGACTCTATATCTCCCTCTCTCTCTGACCCTCCCCTGCTCACTCTCTCTTTCTCTCTTCTAGAAATAAATAAAAATATTTAAAAAATAAAAAAAATTTAAAAAAAAAAAGAGTGACGGGAACGTTTGGGGGGCCCCTCAGACACCTCAGGGAGTACAACATTCAGGTCTGACAACTTGTAGAGAACTAAAGGCAGCCAGCAGGGCCGCCGAGGGCTCAGGACCCCGTCCTCGCCTGGAGAGTCACCCTAAGTCCGGTCTGCTCTCGGGTCTCAGTCTCCCCTCTTACAATGAGAGAGCTGAAAAAAAGGGGGGAGGGGAGGGGAGAGAACAAAGGAAAAGCTGTCACTGCAGCCCTGGTATCAGAGGATTTATTCCTCCCAGTGCTGAGCGATCTCATTTACTGCTCACAAAAATGCTCTTGAGGCCGGATCAGACCACCCTCATTTCACAGAAGCAACACGGAGGCACACTGGGGTCTATTAGATCATCTGCCCAAGGTCACACAGTGACAGAGCCGGAACTGGAGCCCACTTCTCAGCCGAGTGAGGCTTTAGAAAGTGAGACCACCACCACCCCCTGGTGGCCACTCCCTGGAATTGCAGGTGGGAGTCCTCAAAGCAGGGGTGTGAGGTCTGAGGCCCCCACCCTACCCACCTGCCTCTGAGGAGAGGAAATCAAGCAGGCTGCAACCAGGCAGGGGCCTCGGGGAGCCACAAGGAGAGAGCCAAGGCAAGCCACCTGAGGACTCCAAGAACAAAGGCTCCTCAATGACAGAGAGTGGCAGAGGGGAAGCCAGGCCACCCGGGAGGATGCCAGCAAGCAGAGACTATAGAAAGATAGGCCTTAAATGCTTTTCTCTCCATAACCTCTGCTTCACTCACACACACGAAAGTTCAAGTACAATCAGATAAGCTGAGTCGGTGCCGCTGCAGAGGCAATGCGAAAAGGGCAAGGAAGAAATCAGTGGAAGGGAACATTTGACAAAACAAAACAAAACAAAACAAAACAAAACAAAACAAAACAAAACCAGGTGGTTTCAAATATGCGCACATCTGTGGCCGGGATCGGAATGCCCAAGTCTCTCTGGGGCTGCTCAGCTGATGCTTGCCGGGGTCTGAGCCTGAGCTCCTGTGCTGGTATAGACAAGAGTCAGCCCCCCTGCCTCTGGTGGAGACATTCTCCAATCAAGAACCCCGCTGGGGGCATCTTTCTTCAGAGGAAACGGAAGTTCAGGGAAGTGCCATTTCTTGCCCATGACCTCAAAGGCAGAAGGGGTGGAACCTGGGATTTAAATCCTGGAGGACCCCATATCTCCAAGACACGAGCCCAGGCACAAGTGTCCTTGAAACACCCGGAGCTTGTGATCCAAATCACCTTGTGAGCAGAACTGGGGTTGCCTCATTAAAGGAACAGCTGTCGGGGCACCTGGGTGGCTCAGTTGGTTAAGCGTCCGACTTCACTCAGGTCATGATCACACAGTTTGTGAGTTCGAGCCCCACATCGGGCTCTGTGCTGACGGCTAGCTCAGAGCCTGGAGCCTGTCTTCAGATTCTGTGTCCTTCTCTCTCCTGACCCTCCCCTGCTCATGCTGTCTCTCTCAGAAATAAATAAAACATTAAAAATTTTTAAAACAAAAAAAGGAACAGCTGTCTTAGATCCCCCATGGAGCCAGGGGCCCTGAAGGGACTTCCTGAGCAAGTATAGAGCCCAGCCAATCTCCTAACATCATGGGATTTAAATCTGGGGGGGGTGGGGGGGGTGGAAGGGAAAGAAAACCCCTGGAAATGAGAAGAAGGCAAGGATCCTGGGAGCCCTGCTTCCTCCTTTCACAAGTGAGGAAACTGGCTCAGAGAGGGCAAGTGCTGGCCCAAAGAAACAGAGCTCACAGCCAAAGACAGACTCAAAAACCAGAGTAATAATAACAGTGGTAACAATAACACTCATTGAAGAGTATACTGTGTACCCAGTACCATGGCGAACACTTCCTGCTCTGTCCTCTCTGAGCCCCACAGCAACCATGTGCAGTAGATGCTGTGCTTATCCCCATTTCACAGAGGAAGAAACTGAGGCCAAACACCCATCCGCATGCAGAGCTAGGATTTGACCCCTGGACCAGCTTCCTTAAATGAACGGCACAAAAGAAACAGAAATCATGATCTTCCAGGCACTGAGACAAACTGCTGAAAGAGACTGAGAGGCACGGTGTTGGGACTCGAACCAAGAACTTCAAGGCCCCGGGGCATGTTCTCTTATCTGCTCTGCGCCAGGCAGCAGACTCCCCTCTGCACTGGGCTGGAAACCCAAGACCAGCGAAGGCTTCCCGGCAGAGCCACCAAACACCCTCCACGCCGAGAACTGCGGCCAACGCCAGGCTCCAGGACAGGCGCCTGCCCCTCCGCGACCCCTCAGGCTGTCCACAGGCACGACCGCATTCCCAGCGGGTCTGCTGACCAACACCCCCCTCGCGAGCTCCAGTCTGGCCGCGCCAGTGTCACTCACCACGAAGGGCCCGCTCTTCCTGTCCTTGCAGAAACTGTGACTCCTCCGGGGGCCCGGGGCCACAGGGGATGCCTGCCAGAGAGGCCACTCGCTGTCCTGCGGGGCACCGTCCCTCTCTGGGTCCTGTGGTGGCACCTGGGACATAGAACACGGGCAAAGGATTTTACCGGGCTTTCGCATTCACAGACAGAGTGTGTCACAGTGAGAAACTCCATTCTGTACCTAAAAGAGCAAAAAGAAAACTAAAGCCCACCCCAGGACAGTCCGCCTTCATGATGGGAGGTCACCTATGGGGTCTGGGTTCAGCCACGGAATAACTGTGTGACCTCAGGTTAGTGCCTTAACCGCTCTGAGCCTTGACCATGTGCGGAAACACCCATAAGAGCAGCATTCGGCTTCTAGGCCCAGGGGAGCACCAAGCAAGGAGCAGCGTCTGCGCAGTGAGTGATACCGTGCTGCCACCAGGGGGCAATGTGCACAACGAGTCCTGGGCACCTGGCCGGCTTCAGGCTCAGCTCCCCCATGCCTGGCAAGGGGGGACCCTCCCTCAACGTCAGCCAGCCTCAGGAGTGCCACTGGTAACTTCTGGCGACCTCATTTCACACACCTTTCCACTCCTCCAAACGCATATGCACATAAGCACAGACACAGAGAGAAATAATATATGAACAGGGCAGAGCGAGATGCCCAAGTCTGAATCCTATGGGGGGTTTTGTAGCCAGTTATATACAGGGGATACATTCACAGGCCAGTAAATATGGGATTCCAGAATTTGAGGGTCACATGTCTCATGATCGCTCTGCACACACAAGGCAAGGAAGGCCCAGAGAGGGGAGGCATCTGCTTAAGAACACACAGCATGAGCGAACAGCTGGATTCTGGATCCCTTGCCTCACAACCTCTTTTTGCATGCCTTATGAGACCCTCTGTTTTCTTTCGTTTTAATTTTTTTAATGTTTATTTATTTTTGACAGAGAAAGAGAGAGAGATGGAGTGCGAGGTGGGGAGGGGGGGGCAGAGAGAGAGGGAGACACAGGATCTGACTCCAGGCTTTGAGCTGTCAGCACAGAGCCTGGCGTGGGGCTTGAACTCACGGACCGCGAGATCATGACCGAAGTCAGATGCTCAACCGACTGAGCCCCCAGGCACCCCAAGTCCCTCTGTTTTCTCCTACCTCCCTTGCGACTCCTTCTCAGCCTCCTCACATCTCAGAGGGATGTCCATTCACCTAAGGTCAGCCCCAGACCTTTCTGTTTTCCTGCTCCATTACTCCCTGGGGGACCTCTCATAACACCCCCTGGCCTTAAATAAATGCCAAGTATGCACTGACAACTCCAGATTTTGCCTGTCCGTGTAGGGACCCCAGACTTGCAGATCTCACTGTTCATGCTCATCTCTGACTCCCTACGCCCCAGAGAGGCCTCTCCGCTCCTGCCCTCCAAAACTGCTCCTCCTCCGCCCTGCCCATCACCCAGCCAGGTCAGCCAAGGCCTTGAGGTTGCCCTCCAGTCTCTTGCTTCTCTCCACCTCATCAACGAAGCTGAGACTCTGCCTTCGAAACCTGCTTCAAACCACACATCATAAACCAAAATCAAATCGAAATAGATCAAAGGCCTCAAGGCCAGAGTGAAAGCTAGAAAACTTTCAGAAGAAAATATAGGTGTTCATGGCCTTGGATTAGGCAGTGGTTTCTCAGATATGGCATCAAAAGCACAAATGTACCAAGGAAAAATGCATTTTGAGTGCATCAAAATGAAAAACTTCTGTGCTTCAAGAGGCACCATCCAGAAAGTGAAAAATACAACCCACACAAGGGGAGGAAATTTCTGCAAATCATAAGTCTGTGAAGGCACTTGGGTTCAAGATATATAAAGAGCAATTACAAGTCAATAACAAAAAGAAAAATAACCCAATTATTAAAATGGACAAAGGCTATGAACAAAGAAGGGATACACGTGGTCATATAGGCACGTGAAAAGCTGTGCCATGGAAAATGCGAATCAAAACCGCAATGATACCTTCATACCCGGTAGGATGGCTAGAATTGAAAAGACAGGTTAAGTGTGGGCAAGGATGTAGAGAAATCAGCCTTCGAGCATTGCAGGTGGGATGGGCAATGGTGCGATTACCTTGGAAATCATTGGCTCGCTTATGCTCTGGCCCTTACCCTCTGTGCCCACCTTCCAGCATCCACGGGACCAGCTCATCCCTGTGACGGCCATCACTCAGCTCCCTTTCCCAAGAGAGCTTCCCCTGGCCACCTCTTAGAGCCACCTCCCCATCGCCTCTTTTTCTGTCTCTCCAGGACTTACAACTCTCCCTTGCTTGAGGTCTTTTTGCCCCCTGGACCTGAGCTCCCCACGGGCACATTCTGTGACTATGGAGATGTTCTATCGGGCCGTGCAATCAGTCGTCATGAGCCGCCTGTGGCTTCTGAGCACTTGAACGTGGCTAGTGGACTGAGGAGCTGAATCTTTAATCTTACTTAAACTAATTTACATTTAAATGTCCACATATGACTGGTGGCCGCCTTGTTGTGCGGCACAGCCTAATCCAGTGGGCTGGTCCCTTCCAGCAGCCCTGATGCCTAGGACAGGGCCTGGCTGAGGGTTCGTGCATTTATTAAACGTAGTAAGTGAGGGGAGGCATGGAGGCACTTTCTTTCGGATTCCGCCAAACCTCCTTCACATCAGGCCCTGGGCCCTGGGCTTGACCACACGTTATTTCACGATAAACCTCCAGCAAGCCACAAAGCAGGCAGGATTCGCATTCCACAGATGAGGAAATTTAGGTTCAGAGAGGGCTGGCGAGGTGCCCAGAGTCACACAGCTGGGGCCTGATCTCAAGTCTGCCCGATACGCAGATACGCAGGCTGGGACTGCTTCCAGGGAGAAGTCAAACCATAAAAGTACAAACGGCTCTCCTTGCTAATAGAAAACTCCGACAGCTCAGGGGGAAAGGGGCGTGTCCCAAAAGAAAAGTGGGCGGGACTTGAGGAAGCAGGTTACAGGAAGCAAACACAAGGGGCCTCACGCACGTGACAAAGGTGAGGCACTCCTCACCGGCACGGGACCTAGAAGTATGGTGACACAGCTGGCTGGTCTGGCTGAGGGGACATCAAGGATACCTGTAAACAGGCGTGGCCCCGGACGATGCAGGGCACAGTGGCACAAGCCTGCAAAATTAATTCAACTTTAGACAATCGCCATTCTAAACCCACGGGCAAATCTGCACGTGTGCCAAAATCATATGCGCGTGGTTTGTAAATAGCAAAAAATCAGAAATATCACCATCTCCACCATACGGCAATCAAAAAAAGAATGAGGACACCCTCTCTAGGCTGAATCCAAATGCTCTCAAGGACACTCACATAGGAAAAAAAAAAAAAAAAAAAGGCGAGTCCCAAATCTAACAAAGGTGGGTCCCACCCCAGGGATTCCAACCAGACTGGTCCGGGGTGAGGCCCCTGCCTCCTGCCTCACTCTCTTTTAGGACTGCCTGGGTCACTCCCATGTGTAGCCAGAGCTCCAACCACCTGTAGAGAACACTCTCTTTGATGGAGAAAAAAAAGAGGCAAAAGTAAGAATATGTGTTCATGTTTGCTTGTATTTTCAGAAAGAGACTCAACACGAATTTGGACCAAAAAAGAATCGAAGTGGTCAAGGGACAGGAGGAATGCAGAGGATTTATACTCCACGCCTTTAAGTATTTTTGGAGCCTCTTGAAAAGGTTCTCTCTTTTGAAATGAAAATAAATCATTTAATTAAATGGAACACTGCAATCGGGCCTGGGATGAAGTTCTGATAAGCGTTTCTTAAAGGAAAAAGAAAGACAGAAAGAGAAGCAGGGAGGGTGGCGGTAAGCGCAATCGCAAACCAGGCGGGTGCACGAACAGAACTGGCTGTGAATCAAGAAATTCTCACCCACAGAACAAACACGTGATCAAGACGCTCATTGAAGCCCTGCTTCTAACACGAAAACTCAAACCAACCCACCCATCCATCAATAAGTATGCAGATGGGGCGCCTGGGTGGCTCCGCCGCTTAAGCGCCCCACTTCGGCTCAGGTCAGGATCTCACAGCTCGTGAGTTCAAGCCCCGTGCCCTGCTCTGTGTTAACAGCTCAGAGCCTGGAGCCTGCTTCAGATTCTGTGTCTCCCTCTCTCTCTGCCCCTCCCCTGCTCGTGCTCTGTCTCTCTCTCTCTCAAAAATGAGTAAACATTAACAAAATAAAATAAGTATGCAGATTAAAAAAAAAGTTTGAGCTTGGGGCGCCTGGGTGGCTCAGTACGCTAAGCGTCTGACTCTTGATTTCAGCTCAGGTTGTGATTTCACAGTTTGTGGGTTCAAGCCCCCCATCAGACTCTGCGCTGACAGTATGGAGACTTCTTGAGAATCTCTCTCCTCTCTCTGCCCCTGCCCCATTTGCTCTCTCTCTCAAAATAAATAAATAAACTTAAGAAAAAAAAAAAAAAAAGACGGGAGCCTGGGTGGCTCAGTCAGTTAGGTGTCCAACTTCAGCTCAGGTCATGATCTCGCTGTTTGTGAGTTCAAGCCCCGCATCAGGCTCTGTGCTGACAGCTCGGAGCCTGGAGCCTGCTTCGGATTCTTTGTGTCTCCTTCTCTCTGCCCCTCCCCTGCTCATGCTCTGTCTCTGTCTGTTTCTCAATAATGAATAAATGTTTTAAAATTTAAAAAAAAAAGAAAAGAACCTACTTATTAAGAAAAAAAAAAGGGGCGCCTGGGTGGCTTAGTCGGTTGAGCGTCCAACTTTCGCTTAGGTCATGATCTCGCGGTTCGTGGGTTCGAGCCCCGCGTCGGGCTCTGTGCTGACTGCCAGCTCAGAGCCTGGAGCCTGTTTCAGTCTGTGACTCCCTCTCTCTCTGCCCCTCCCCTGCTCACGCTGTCTCTCTCTCTCTCTCCTAGAAATAAATAAAAAAACATTTAAAAAAAAAANCTGACTGCCAGCTCAGAGCCTGGAGCCTATTTCAGAGTCTGTATCTCCCTCTCTCTCTGACCCTCCCCTGCTCACGCTGTCTCTCTCTCTCTCCTAGAAATAAATAAAAATATTAAAAAAAAAAAAAGCTTGGGCTCCATATAATAAAATATTTTGCAGTCACCAAAAATAATGTGATTATCTACCTATAAACACGGGGTTTTTTTACTGTAAAAAAAAAAATAGCAAGTTGTAGGATTTCCTGTAGAATATCACCATGTTTCCGTTAGAGAGTATGTTACTTACCTGTGTCTGTACCTGGTGGGGCTTCCCTGCCTGTGGAGCTATGCGCACTAAGGGGCTGGATGGGCTTCGGTGCTGGGGGAGCCGATCTGCACACTGCAGGGTGCTGAGCAGCACCCTGCCCTCCACCCGCTAGATGCCAGGAGAAAACATCCCCAGTTGTGACCTCAGAAAATGTCTTATACTTGGAGCGCCTGGGTGGCTCGGTCCGTTGAGCATCCGCCTCTTGATTTCGGCTCAGGTGATGATCTCACGGTTCACGAGTTCGAGCCCTGCATTGGGCTCTGCGCGAACAGTGTGGAGCCTGCTTGGAATTCTCTCTCCCTCTCCTTTTGCCTCTCTCCTGCTCTCTCTCTCACTCCCAAAAATAAATAAGTAAACATAAAAAAGGGAGGAAGGAAGGAAGGAAGGAAGGAAGGAAGGAAGGAAGGAAGGAAGGAAGGAAGGAAGGAAGGAAATGTCATATACTTGGCCAAATGTGCTGTTGGGGAAAAACTGCCCATAGCAGAGAACCGTTGATAGGCTTGGAAGGCTGCACCCCAGACCCTGCATTTAGGGGAGATTTTCATTCTGAACCATATGCTTGCATCACACGGTTCAATATGACACAAACAATAAGGGAAAAGACCACAGTAAAAATCAAGATACGTATGAGGGACAAGCAGCTCCGCGGTGTATGGGAAAGCCCCAACATACCAAACTCTGTGACCCTGGTTTGCATCTTGGGGGAATGGTGGGGACAGGAAGGGGGCCCAAGGGGTACGCATTTTTCTTCACTCTGATAAGGTCTGAATTTTCAACAACCAACATTTTGTCCTTCTGTGTTGCTTCTGTTTGTTTTTTCACGATCAAGAACCAGAGATGGTCGGGCAGGAGGGGAAGGAAGCAGGGAGCTGGTCCAAGGCTTCCCAATCCCTCAATGAGAAAACAGATCCCCTGACAACGAGCACTCGTGGGGCCCGCGCACCCCGGGCGAGCGTCCAAGGCCGGGCCGGATCCCACACACACACACACACACACACACAACAACCGACTCTCCCGCTGCCAGCGGGCCCCTGAGCAGGGCGCTGGCAAATGGACCAAGTGTCACATTTCCTCGCCTCCTCCCCTCTCCCGCTGTTCCTACAATAACGGCCTGGTGAAACCCGCCTCGGGCAGCGCATCTTCACAACCCCTGGCCGGTCCTGTGCTCATACCCACTGGCGGCCCGGCCATGCTCTATCTCCATTCAGCTCACCCAAAGAGCTGCCGGCCAGAAACTTCGGTCAGCCCCAGGGAGGCAACGTGGCTGTTCTACCCACAGCTGGTGAGCGACACAGAGGAGTCTAAATGTGGTCACGGGAAAACTTCAGTTTCTTCGCTGATGCCATCCCACTGCTTCATGTCTACACCATCCCTTTCCAGGCGGGAGCCTCTGCTCTCTTCTACAGAGGAGGAAACTGAGGCTCAGGCCCTCAGTGAAAGGGTTTGCCCGTCACCACTCAGTCCAAGCGGCAGATGTGGGATTTGGGTGCGAGTCTGCTGACGCCACATCATATGGGCGGCGTGGGGGGACTAAGACTCCGTACTGCTCCCAGAGCAGGCTGTGTTTTGTCCCCACCTCCAAAGCTTTGCACGCGCTGTGCTTCTGCTGCGAACGCCATCACCTCATGTTCATCCCTTCAGGGTGGGCTCGAGCCAGCAGCTCCTCCAGGATGCCTTCCTACACCTCTTCTCCAGCACCTCACCTCTGCACCCTATCATTTCCTGGCCGGGGATCACCCCGTCCCGTCTCCCTGCAGAGATCAAAAGCTACCCAAAGGCAGGCTCCATGCCTCACATTTCTTCCCTATCTACAAGATTCCTAATTTACCACAGAGTAGCCTACTTGAAAGCTGGGGTATCAAGCCAGACCTGAGTTCAAACACTAGCTTTGCCACTTGGTGCTGGGTGACCTGAGACAAGGTACCTAACTTCTCTGAGCCTGGGTTTTGTCATTGTACAAAAATATGATGAACACAGCAAATGCTGTGGGCACCCTGCCCTGTGCTCAAGTACATGGCAATGGCAGTGGAGTCCTGCTGTGAGAGGAGTTTTCTCTCCACCACTGAGCAGGGCACCAGGCAGGATGCAAGAGCGTGAGTGGTAGAGTCCCAGAAACAGCCCCAGGGGAGGACAGACGGGAACTGGAAAACACATAAGCCAGGTTCCTTGCTTCTCGGGGGGGGTCTATGCTAACTCCCAGAGGTCTCCAGTGAGAATGAGCCTCACTCAGACGCCCACAAGTGCACCCTTAACACCAGCCTCCCCTCTCTGCTTCACCTCTCCACTGGGGATCCTAGCCCAGGGAGTCCCCTCCTAAAACAGCTACTTGCAAAGGTTTCTGCTTCTGTGGAAACCCAAACGCCCACAATTCTGCAAAAGAGGGACTGTCACAAGACTCGCATGAGATCACTCATTCACTCGGGGCGCCTGGGTGGCTCGGTGGGTGGCAAGGCATCTGACTCTGGATTTCGCCTCAGGTCACGATGTCAAGGTTTGGGAGATCAAGCCCCCTGTAGGGCTCTGTGCTGACGACAGGGAGCCGCTTGGGATTCCCTCTCCCCCTCTCGCTTTCTGCCCCTCCCCCCGCTCAGGCACATGCTCTGTCTCTCAAAATAAATAAATAAACATTTAAACAGCCAGCATTCCTTGAATGTTCACAAAACGTCATGCAGGATGCTGAGTGTGCAGGACACAATGATGAATGTGAAACAACACACCGGAATGGACAGCAGGTGCTTCGTAAATGATACCGATCATTATCATCATTCTAGACCAGAGGTTTCAAAATGGTGGTCCCGGGGGGCTCAGTGGAGCCATCGAGTGTCAAGAACCAGCCGGAACTGAGCAGCAGCTGCCCCCACACACACACCCCTGTGGAGGGAATGAGCTCTCTATTTGCCACAATGTCCACTGCTCATGTACATGCCCACTTGGCCCATGTCGGGTGGGAGTTTGAGACCCCCAGCCTCTGTGTTTCATCAACGCCTCGCGAAACTGAAACTGCCTTCCCACTCACCTTCTGACCATCTCGAGTCTCCGACTCTCGCCGACAGGGCCCCACTTTGGTGTCCTTGACCTCATAACTGTCTGCAGGGAGGCTGGACCTCCCCTGGGGCCGCTCCCGCCTCCTGTCTCTGGCTTCCTGCATGACGGACAGGCCCTCCCGGAGTCTGGCGGGGGGACCCTTCTCCGAATTGGCTCTCTTGACGTCCAGCGGTGACCTGTCCCAGCCATAGGGCTGATCGCCCCGCTGGACCCCACTGCCCTCCTGCTCCCTCTTGATGGATCTCCTTGGGGTCCCTTTCTTCTGGTGGGGGGGGGAGGACTTGGGCGACACGCTGGGCCCACTGCCTAGGTCCTCCCAGGTCGTGGGCTTGGGCTCGGCTGGGCGACTCGGACACTTTGCACCCTGACGTTTACTAGCAAAGGCCTGTCTGTCGTCCTCGGGGATTCCTGAAGCTTTTCTTCTGGGACCGGCGGGGCCTGAGGAGACCCCCGGGTAACTTTCAGAAGGAGCCGAGAGCGGCGGAGCCCACAGAGGAGGGCTGGATTTGGAGTTCGCGGTTACCCCCAGGGTCTCCACCGGCGGCTTGCCGGGGCCAGGACTGGAGCCGTGGTTTGCTTCGGTGAAACCGGCTTGTTTCCAGGGACCCTCAGTTTCGGGCCTCTCCTTCCAGCTCCTCCTTCTCGGTTCCGCCCCGGCTGAGGGCGCCTCCTCCACCGGCTCCCGAACCTCCTGCCTCCTGTACTCTGCCATCAGGGCGTCGATGTCAAGAACGCTGGATCTGTAGCCATCTTTGATTTTACCTGGGGACCTCGCCCTCACCACCTCAGTGTCCCTTCTGGCGAGGAGATCGTTGGCTTCTGGGTGAGTTCTGGAAGCCGGGGGCATTTTGGGAGCGCTGCTGGGGGATGTCTGGTTCCCACGACCCTTCCAACTGCTCTGAAAACAGGTGCCGTCTTCTGGTCCCCGATGAATCCACAAGGCGTCGGCATCCGTGACTCTTTCACTGGAAGGATCCAGAATCCTGTCTCCAAGAGATGACGGGCGGTCTGTTGGCTTCGGAGCCTTTGAAAAGCTTATATGGTCGTGCTCTCTGCCCTTAGTCAAGATTTGACTGCCCTGGCCTTCCGGTGGCTCTTCATGGTTAAGAGACACCAGCGTAGGTGTTCGAGGATGAGGAGATGGAGGCGGTGTTGGTTTTCTAGAATGTTCCGTCAAGTTCTCGGGCCCCAACTTAATGATACTTTTTGCTTTTTGGGTATCAGGAATCTGGTATGTCACTGCAAAAAATGTCGCCTTGGGTTCCAGAGAGGACCCTTGCTTCACTGCTGGGCGAGTCCAGTCCTGTGAAGCACTTGGGTTCACCTCCTGGATCTCCACCCTATTGTGGGAGAGCTGAGGTTTTCTTAAGGCACTGACGGTGGGGCTCAAATGGTCTGTTCGTCTCTGCTCCACCTTTGAGGCGTTTTCTGGGGCCAGGAACTCATCAAACTTCACGTCATGCGGCAATGTCCTCCGGCGCCACTTCTCAAATCTCTGGTCCGTGGGACCCACCCTCCGCATCCTGACTTCAGGCTCTGGTGCCCTGGCGGGCCTGGGCTCACAGTCTCCAGCAGCCTCAACGAGGGACCCTTTCTGCACCAGCGCTTCTGGATGTGGCCGGGCTCGGAAGTCAGAGGGCTCGTCCTTAGCCCTAGAGGGAGGGTCCAGGGGGTACCCCCAGGGGGCGCCTTTTTCTCCTGCTGAGCTGCAGCCTCCTGACTTGCTTCTGGCCCCATTGTGCCCCTCGAGCGGGGCCTCCCAGCCGGCCGCCTGGATGGCCTTCCCAGAGGGGGCAGTGGAGCCGCACGACCTGGCTGAGCACTCGCTGTTGACCTCGGGGCTCAGTTCCCAGCCCTTCTCTTCACTGGCCACCATGGTGGCTTTATGCCAGTTCAAGGTCACCCCACCTGTCCATTTGGGTGACAGGCAATTGCCCCCAAATGTGTCTTTTGGCTCCCGGAAGTCAGGCCTTGGCTCACCGGCCTCATGAGTCCCTCGAGCTTCCCAAATCAAACTGGCCCTTTGGACGGACCCCACCTGACCTTCCAGCCTGCACTCTGGCTCTGCAGGGGCGACCTCATGCGGCTGCTGTCCCTTTGGTGAGAGCCGAGACCTGCCGCTTCGCAGGGTCGTGGCTTTTTCCTCCGACGCCATGGGGACGGCCTCGCTGTGAGCTCGCTTGCCCACGGTGTGCATGATGTCGTACTTGGGCTCCACCCTCCGGGATGGGGGAGGGTTTCCAGAACATTGGATGAAGGGGTTTTTATTGTGTTTTTCGTCCAGAGGGTATTCTTCCCGGAGGGGTAGGTGATACTGTTTGGGTTCACCGTTGGAAAGGGCAGTCCGGCCCCATTTCTCTGCATCAGGCTTTTCAAACCCTCTGGAGCTCTGATTCTTGACAGTTGTCTTTACAGGGGGGTCCTTCCCCGGCCAGGAGCTTCTCTCGCGCCTGGGTCTGAGCTCTGAGACACCGGCATCAGCCACATCTCTGGGGGCCGTGGCCGAGGGACAGCGTCCTGACTGGTCAGCCACCGTGTGTCTCTCCACATGCTGCTCAAACACTGTGGCCCACACGGTCTGGAAACTTCCATCGTCTTCTGGGGTGTTGTCAGAGGGGCTCAGAGCCCCCGCTGAGCTTTCACCCCAGTAGCTGCCAGGTACTTGGTTAGGACTGTCCTTCCGCTCTGTCTGCGTGGACTTCTCCCGGAGTGTTCCAGGCTTCCAGGAACTTCTTGGGACGGAGGCTCCAACCACACCATGCCCTTCCTTTGGCTGAAAAAAAAAAAAGAAACAATCCAACTTACATTAAGGGACTTGAAAGGGAAAGGAGGAGGTGAGGTGATCGACACAGCTGCTTTTAAAATCACAACAGGGGCGCCTGGGGGGCTCAGGCAGTTAAGCGTCCGACTTCGGCTCTGGTCGTGATCTCACAGATTCGTGAGTTCAAGCCCCACGTTGGTTCTGTGCTGACAGCTCAGAGCCTGGAGCCTGCTTCGGATTCTGTGTCTCCCTCTCTCTCTGCCCCTCTCCTGCTTGTGATCTTTCTGTCTCTGTCTCAAAGATAAATAGACACGTAAAAAATATATACTATTTCGGGGCGCCTGGGTGGCTCAGTCAGTTAAGCCTCCGACTTTGGCTCAGGTCATGATCTCACGGTTCGTGGGTTTGAGCCCCGCATCGGGCTCTGTGCTGAGAGCTCGGAGCCTGGAGCCTGTTTCAGATTCTGTGTCTCCCTCTCTCTCTGACCCTCCCCTGCTCACGCTGTCACTCTCTCTCTTTCTCTCAGAAATAAATAAAACATCAAAAAATTTAAAATATATATATATATATATACTATTTTAAAAACTTAAAAAGTAAAGTAAAAAAATCACAACGTGAGATACCATAAAAATTTTAAAGACTGACCACACCCATTGAGGACGAGGATGTGGGAAAATGGACACTCTTGGAAACTGTTGGCAAGAACATAAACGGATACGACTTTTGGACATGTCATGATCTTCTAACGCTCGTTTCCTTCAATCTGGCCCGTTTCCTCCAATCTGGCCCGTTTCCTCCCAAGACTCTTTCTTGGCTCAAGGGCCCAAGTCTGCGTCAATAAGAAGGCTCAGGAAGGAAGCAGACCTCCACAGAAACAATCTAGGTGCCTGTGTGGAGGGCACAGGCTAAGTGAGCTTTGACTTAACACAGGCTGCAGAACGCCTGTAGGGCACTTGGATCCATAGGAGGGGGAGGGGGTCCTGATGTCACATCCACCAACCAGAAAACACTGTTGTGGGGGGGGGAGGGAGAAAGGCAGACTGCAGACAGTGTATTTATAAAGCAATTCCGGTTTTTAAACAACTGTGTATATGTGTGTGTGTGCATGGAGATAAACAATAGAGAAGAGCTACAAATTCACCAGTGAGTAAGGGTGTCTGTGAGATCAGGAGGAAGGAATGAGGAGAACGTCAGTTTCCCTCTGACACACTCGGCTCTGTTTGATTTTAGGATATGCATGTGTTAGTTAGCCATTCCTTAATGTTTTTTTTGTTGTGAGAAGTATGGCTACTTCAGGGCTCCTGGGTGGCTCAGTCAGGTGAGTGTCTGACTCTTGATGTCAGCACAGGTCATGATCCCAGGGTCACGGGATTGAGTCCTGCTTCAGGCTCCACACTGAGCATGGAGCCTGCTTAAGATTCTCTCTCTCTCAGGGCGCCTGGATGGCTCAGTAGTCAGTTAAGCAACTGACTTCGGCTCAGGTCATGATCTCGCAGTTTGTGGGTTCGAGCCCTGCATCAGGCTCAGTGCTGACAGCTAGCTCAGAGCCTGGAGCCTGCTTCGGATTCTGTGTCTCCCTCTCTCTCTGTCCCTCCCCTGCTCGTGCTCTATCTGTCTCTGTCTCTCAAAAAATGAATAAACATTAAAAAAAATTTTTTTTTTTTAAAAAAAGATTCTCTCTCTCTCCCTCTGCCCCTCTCCTCGCTTGCACTTTCCCTCTCTCGAAAGGAAAGGAAAGGAAAGGAAAGGAAAGGAAAGGAAAGGAAAGGAAAGGAAAGGAAAGGAAAGGAAAGGAGAAAGGAGAAAGGAAAGAAAGGAAAGGAAAGGAAACGGAAAAGAGAAAAGAAAATGAAATAAGTCTACTTAAACGAGTTAAACAGTGAGTTAACCATCAAACCAGCCAATCCCATTCCTGGATAGACACCCAAAAGAAGGGAAAATTGATGTTCCAATAAAAGCTTGTACACCTCTGTCTACAGCAACACTATTCACAGAAGGTGGAAATCACCCAAATGTCCACCAGAAAAATGGATAAACAAATTGGTGTCTACTTGTACAATGGGGTATAAAAAAGGAACGAAGTATTGATTCACACTCCAACACAGAGGAACCTTGAAAACATTATGCTAAATGGAAGAAGCCAGACAAACGGATATGTGTTTTGTGATTCCATCTGTAGGGAATGCCCAGAATAGACATGTCTACAGGGGCAGAAAGTAGATTCCTGGTTGCCAGAGGCCACAGGTGGGAGATGGGAAGCCACTGGCTGAGGGTTTCCAATTCAGAGTGATACAAATTCTGGGGACACCTGGCTGGGGAGCGTGCAACTCGATCTTGGGGTCGTGAGTTCAAGCCCCGCATTGGGTGTAGAGATTACTTAAGTAACTAAAAATGAAAATAAAAAATTCTGGAACTAGATGGTGGGGATGGTTATACAACACTGAGAATTCACTTAATGCCACTGAATTATTCACTTTAAAAATGGTTATGATGCTTCTACTGGGTGTTGTATGGAAACCAATTTGACAATAGATTATGTTAAATAAAAATTAAAAAATAAAATGGTTATGATGCACAAAGGGCCATTAATCTCTAGTGCAGATCATGGAATCCCATTAAAGCATTTTAAAAATATTTTGACTTAAAGTTTTTGTTGTTTTATTAAATAAAATTAGCATTAATAATATGGAATCTATTCTCTCTAAACAATGCAAAACTCAAGTCCTTTTGAGCCTTCAAATATTCAAATACCAATCCCCTTCCTGGATAACAGCTATTATCGATGGGGAGTGTATCCTTGAAGAACATTCCAGAACTTTCTCCTAGTACTGCATGTGTGTATTTTTTTAAGTTTATTTATATATTTTGAGAGAGAGAGAAAGAGAGCAGGAACAGGGGAGGGGCAGAGACAGAGGGAGAGAGAGAGAATCCCAAGCAAGGGATTCTAACAGCGGGGAGACCACAGTGGGGCTTGAACCCACAAACCAGGAGATCATGACCAGAACCGAAAACAAGAGTTGGATGCTCAACTGATTGAGGCCACCCAGGCGCCCCTGTGTATTTTTTAAGTGTGTGTGTGTGTGTGTGTGTGTGTGTGTATGCATATAAAGAGAGAAAGATTGTTTTTATATTTAAAACTATATTCACTGTTGGGGCACCGGGGTGGCTCAGTCGATTGAGCATCCAACTCTCGATTTCAGCTCAGGTCATGATCTCAGGGTCATGCGGTGGAGCCCTGCATTGGGCTCCGCATTTCCTGAGGTGATCCCTCTCCCTCTGCCCCAGCCATTGTGTCCCCTCTCTCTCCCTTTCTCTAAGATAATATATGTGTAGTCAATTGTTCTTAAAAATTAAAATTGTATCTTTTATGTTATGTGTCTTTTACTACACTAAAAAAAATTGCCAATAGAAAAACCTATTTACAGAGATGAAATCTCCTTATATTAAAGCAAGGATTCCTTGATTAACTTTCACTTCTTGGAAGTTCTCTTAACGTCTACAAAATTACAGAGAAAATAATAAGTTCACCTCACCCTATCCCTAGATTCATTGACAATCAGCATTTTGTCCCACTTGCTTCACAAGCCCTTCTTGTTCTTATTATTGTTACCATTTTAATGCAAATAGGGAGGCTTTACTTCCATCAGACCCTCTCTCAACCACTTTCAAAGAAGCGATTCAGAATATCCAAGGATAAAAAGCAGGGCACCCCCTTGGCCCCAGGAGTGGTGGGCACTGCCATTCAGATCCAGCTCAAGGGGTACAGATGGGCTTGCCACAAAGCTCTGGTGTTTAAAACTCTACCCATCATACCATCCAGCCATTCCGAGGCATCTACCCAAGAGAAAAGGAAGTAGATGTTCCTACAAATCTTTGCCCACAAACGTTCATACATCACTTTTATGTGCAATGGCCCCAAGATGGGAAACAACTCGAATGTCCATCAGCAAGGCAAAGAGAAACAAATGGTGGCCTACCCATCAATGGAATACTACTCAGCTATCAAAAGGAATAAACTATTGACAAGTACATGCATACAACATGATGCATCTCAAAATAATTATTGTGAGAGAAGAGAGATTTAAAAAATAGCATTGGTCGCATCTATAGAAAAATCTACCCATAAACGTCTAGAAAACGTAAACTGATCTATTGTAACAGAAAGCAGAAAAAAAAGTTAAAAAAATAAAAATAAAAGAAAGCAGATCAGTGGCTGTTTGGGGGGAGGGAGAGTGGACAAAAGTGGTTACAAAATTGGAAACCCCCACGTACTGGAGATGTTTGTATGTTGATGGTGATGATATTTTCTCAGGTATGCGTAGATATGTGTCAAAACTCATCATTGTACACTCAAAATGCGTGCCGTTTACTATATATCAATTACACCTCAAAGCTGTTTTTTAAAAAAAAACATTAAAACTCTGAGGCACCTGGGTGGCTCAGTCGGTTAAGCATCCGACTTGGGCTCAGGTCATAATCTCAGTCTGTGAGTTTGAGCCCCACGTTGGGCTCTGTGCTGACAGCTCAGAGCCTGGAGCTGCTTCAGATTCTGTGTCTCCCTCTCTCTCTGCCCCTCCCCCACTAGTGCTCTCTCTGTCAAAAATACATTTATAAAAAGATTAAAACTCTGCACAATGCATCAACCACAAAACAGTTAGACCTAGTAGTTATTTTATAAGCTTTTTCTTATTAAACAGATTAAATAAAATTTAATTTAGTTTCCCTCCTTGGGTGACAAGCCAAGGTAGGGAACAGGGACATAATGAGAGAAACCAAGGGGGTTCAATTATCAGTTTTTAAGCTAGATTTTAAATTCTTAATAAAGCAAGCATTCGTACCTAAGAAAGCCAGGTTCCTCTTCCTCTTTGTCCAGGAAACAAAATAAAACCCGGCAATTACATGTGTAAACAATATTTAACACTAAGGAGTGCAGAATCACAAACCCAAAAGGGACTTGAAAAGTCCCAGCGTTAAAGGAAAAAAGAAAACGTTTTATTCTTCTTGAGAGGCTTCTGATTATCCTTTCCTGGGGCTTGCGGATCCAGAAAGCTCTTTTCCCAGTGAGTAAAGCCACCCGCTACAAAACAAGACATGCCAAACACAGAGGCTTCTCACCTTTTCTCCTGGGTCCTTAGCAAACTCACCACTTAGCTCAGAACACTTCTCATATCGGACTTCATTGCTTGAAGCTGGACTTGAAAACCTGGTACAAGAAGATCCAAGTTACTCGTACGGGGCCAGGAGCTGTGACTCCCTCCAGCCCACGCCCCGTAACTAGCTCAGGAGCCCAGGGGTGAGATCAGCGCTGAGATCCACACAGCAACACTGCCTGGTTTGCTTTGAGAAAAGATGTGTTCTGTGTCCTTTCTTGTCGCCAAACCGAGAAGGGCCCCGAGGGAAGAGCTTACCTTAAACACAGCATCCTGGGGTAGCAGGAGCCCCAGGTTTAGAGGAAGGGACCTGGGTGATGTCCCAGCTCTACTGCCTCCCCAGTGCAGGAGCTTGGGCTGTGCTTGTGGCCCCACCTGAGCCTCTGTCTCTTCATCTATAAAACGGGGATAATTAACACCTCCCCATCATCTTTTGTAGGGCAGATAAGCGGCTACCCAAGGCCTAATAGCTATGTGAGGGCGTTTAGGGAAGAGTAAAGATGCCCCAGGAGGGATAATTAATGGTTGTTGTCAGCAACCCCAGGCATACCAGCACCCCCACCACAGACCTGCCACGGGACCTGGGGGTGGTGGGCCGCGTGGAACGTGTGGGGGCACGGGCAGGCCTCTGCCTCTCTGGGTAACCTTGGCCAAGTCATTGTCCCAGTCTGGGCCTCAGTGTCGCCACTTGCCAGGGGGGAAGAGAAGGAAAGGGTGTTCTGGTGCTGGCATTTTCCCGTCTCTGTAGAGCTCCCTGGAGCAGGTGCCTGAATCCAGGGCTGGGGGCCACCGAGACAGGGAGGGGAGAGAAACCACTTAAACCCGTCCCACTCCGCAAGCCGGGGTCTGCCAGCCGGGTGTCATGAGGCCATGGATGAGTCGTTTCCAAACTCAGAGCCTCAGTTTCCCCATCTGTCAGATGAGAATACCCGAGGCACCAGGAGGACACAGGAAAAGGTGTGTGAGGTCCCTTTGCGTGGGTGTCCCTTTCTCTGCTATCTTAGCTCAGGCCTGGCTGTACATGAAAATCACTCAGGAAGCTTTTAGAAACGACCAAGATATGCGCCCCAGATCAACTGAATCAGAATCTCTGGAGGGGGGCGGGGGGTGCCAGGCATCGGTATTTTTTTTTCCCAGATGTTTTAAATACTGAGAGCCACCGATCTAACCCTAGCCAGGCTGGCTGCCCTGGTTCCTGAGGCTGGCAGAGCAGTCTGCCCAGAGGTGGCTCCTGGAAGCTCGGATCCGGACAAAAGTATGTCAGCGGCATGCATGTCATTAACGAGCTGGCGGACACGCCCAGTGGCATCTCCCTGTTGTAGCCGGGAAGCCACTTGTGGGAAAACAAAGGGGCAGGAGATGTCAGAGGCCTGGCTGAGCCTAGAAAATCATCGTTAAGTAACAGGATTCATAATTTCACTTGGAGCTAGATGAAGTGATGGTTTCCCGTGGGCACAGTGATTCACAGCATTATCTATTAGTCTCTGCCTTAACTCTTCAAGGGAGCTTTCTATTTTAGAGACAAACCAAGGCTCAAGAGGGAAGGGGACTTGCCCAGGCTACCTTGACCCATCTGATTTGATTTTGGGGCCACTCATGGAGGCTTAGGCTGTACAGTATTCTGGATTCTGGAAAGGCATGCTTAGCAATGCACCCAGGCTGTGCCAGACTTCCTCACAGCACTTCACCTCTCCTATCCGCATCTGTGAAATGGGCACAGTATCACCCCACTCCAAAGTGTAAAACAGAGAAAGGACAAAGAAATGGAGCTGCTGGCACACAGGGGACCCAGAGGAGAGCTGTGTGACTGCTCTGAACCTCAGCTCCTTATCTGAGAAATGGAAGTTAACACCATCTCCTGGGGGGGGGGGGGGGGGGGGGCGGGGAGCTGGGCTGTAAGGTGCCTAGCGTGGAGCTTGGTCCCTCGGTCCCTTTCCTGAGGGGCCTCCAGTAAGAAGGAGGTCGGAGGCAGCTGGGGGCTGAACGAAGCCCATGGAACATTCCCACTTACAGTCTGGTCAGATCCGCCGACAGCGGCCGTGCCTGGAAGGTCTTCCTCCTGATTTCTGGCTTTGCGTCCGAGCTCTCAGCGGCCCAGCCTTTGATCCGCTCCTGGACGCTCACGGCCACTTTCTCAGGCTGTGGGGCAGCCGGCGGGGGTTCACGGGTGGCCGCCGGGGGTTCGGATTCTGCGGCCAAAGCCAAAATGCTCTCCTCCCCAAACAGGCTGACGCGCTTCTTGACGCTGCCCCTGAGGGTCGGTCCTCCCTCCGGCCGGCTTTCCCCGTAGTCCCCTGCTTTGCTCTTGACCTCGGCAAACTCTTGGTCCTTTCCCGGCCTGGGGGAGGGGGTCGGGGGCAGCTTCTCGGGCTCCCTGAGCAGCTTCCCTTTCTCCCCCTCGGGGTGCTGGTCATCCGGGGGGGCACCCCTGGCTGAGCCCCCCGCAGCCCTGAGGCTGCCGGTCTCCGCCGGCTTACAAAGCACCTTCTCCCTCTGTTCTCGGGCCTTCCTGGCTACCTCTGGGAAGTCCGAGTCTGGATCGTGAAGGCGGGGGTTTGCTTTCGCCACACACGCCCCGTCCACTCTGGGCTCCGGGTCGGACCTCTCGGGCCCCCGACCCTGGGCAGTGGAACCCGCAGAGGCCTCTTCAGCCACCTTCTTCAGCAAGGCCTCTCTGCACTCAAACCGGGCCGTGAGGTCCACGGACAGGGGCCTGGGCTTCCTCACCCACGTCTTCTCAGGCGGAGTGGGGGGCGCTTTCCCCGCCACCGTGGCCGCCCCGCCGGGGCCTGGCTTCTGAGGCTCAGCGGATGCGATGAAAATGGCCGACACGGGCCTTCTCCTCAGGAGAGGCCTGGGCTCCAGAGCGAGGTCACCCGCGTCCTCCACACGGCCGGCCTCTGAGACAGGCTCGTTCGGGCCTCTCCCCTCTTGGGGGGCAGCCGGCCTGGCGTCCTGCGGCAGGGAGGCCGGTCGGGGAAGCGTCCCAGGCTTTCGGGCGGGCAGGGCGGGCTTGGCGGCCACCTCGGGCCGGGAGCCAAGCGCGGGCTCCTGAGACACACCCGCGGTGGCCCCCCGACTCCCCTCGCTGGAACCCTTCCCCAGGGTGGGGCCGGCTTGGGTGGTTTCAAAGAGGATCATGGAGTTGGGTCGGGGCCGCGGGAAGGCAGCCTTGCTGAACACAGACGAGCTCCTCAGGCCTTCGCCGCCCTTCCTCGCCTCCTGCCCCACCAGCCCGGGCATCCTCTCGCCCACTTCCTTTGCCTCCACGTCCTGGGCGCGCCCGCAGGGGGATGGGCTGCTTGGGCCGGGCCCCAGGGATGGGACAGGGGGGTTCACGTCCAGGACCTTCTCCCTGCAGAAGGGTTTGGGGGCCAGTCTGGGCAGCGGGAGTAAGCGGGCCGGGCTCCTGAGGGGGCTCTTTCCTTCCAAGAGCAGCGGGGAGGGTGCCCCGGGGGCGTCGCCGGCCTGGCGGAAGTAGGTCCGCTTGAGGGTCTCCTCCTGGGCGATCTCGCTGAGGCCTGGCACTCCTGTCAGGGAAGTGACAGAGCCGACCTCGACCCGCGTCGCCATGGCTACGGCTGTGGCTCCATGGGGACAGAGGACGTCCGAACTAGAGAAGCAACTGCTAAAAGTAAAGAGGGAAGGGGGGTGGGGGGGAAGTAAATTTAAATCTTGGTCGGTGTCGGGGCGCCTGGGTGGCTCAGTCGGTTAAGCGTCTGACTTCGGCTCAGGTCGTGATCTCACGGTTCGTGGGTTCGAGCCCCGCGTCGGGCTCTGTGCTGACAGCTCAGAGCCTGAAGCCTGCTTCAGATTCTGTGTCTTCCTCTCTCTCTGTCTCTTCCCCACCCACGCCGTCTCCCTCTCTCTCTCTCTCTCTCTCTCTCAAAGAATAAACATTAAAAAAATACAATAAAATAAATCTCGTCAGTATCTCTGTCGAAGCAGAGGGGGCTGGGGGAACAGGTCCAGGGGACCAGCGCCGCAGGTACTGACATCACTCTCTCCACCGACCTCACTGGGCAAGTCCAGGCCGGCCTTTCCATCTCTCTGAACTCTGGGCAAGGACAGTGGACTAAAGGGCCATTTCTAAAGTCTGTTCCAGGCCCAAGGGTGGGGAAAGGGTGGCAACATTCTCTAGGAGTTCCCCCCCCCCCCCCCCCGCTCGGCAACTCTCAAGGCCAGCTCTTAGGTAAAAAGTCATTATCTCTGCCATCCAGATAAGGAAACCAGCTCAGAGTGGCCAAGGAACTGGCCTGATGTCACTTGGAAAATAAGAGGCAAAGTCAGGATACGGGGACCCAGGTCAGACTCCAACCGCACACTGCACACTGATAGCAAAAGCCCCGCAGAGAGCACCCTCACGGCCCCCCGCTCCCGTACCCCCAAACGCCTCTCCCAGCTCCCACTTCACAGCATCCCAACTGCCCCTCCTCACAACCCTGTGCTGAGCACCAAGCACAGAGACGGTAGGTGACCAGCCTCAGCTAGCACAGCTACCAAACGCTGGAGTCACATCTTCCTTGGATAGCCCTGCGCGGTGGATATGACTGTCAGACCACATTTTGCAGCCGCTCGGGCATTCACCCCTTCTTCATCCCGCTGTGCACTCGATTCTCTCTGATTAATCCTGGCACAACCCTGGGAAGCAGGGATTAAGTGCATCTCCATTATGGGGATGAAGAGTAAGGGCCCAGAGAGGTCCCCCGACTTGCCTACATCACACAGCTAAAACATGACCTCAAGTCCTCGCCCCATTCAACTCAGCCTTCTGGAACATGACATCTTACTCCTTCTGGTCTTCAAAAGTGCCAGACAAATGGCTGTCCTTGACCCTCTCCCCCTCCCCAGCACCATGCCCACACCTTCATGCCCGAGTCCTCTCTCCCCGCAGCCCTGCCCCCACCGTGCCCCCATCTAGAGGGACTAAAAGTAGAAGGCATTTCAGTTCAACGCCAGCCTCCTGCTCCCCTTCCTGGGGCCCCACTCTGCTGCCCCCGGCTCTGACTCACTCAGCAGCCTGCAGGGAAGAAAGGCAGACAGATTTTGATATTTTCTCTTCCTTACACGCTCGATGGTGCTAACAGATTTCTTCTCTCCAAAGCAGAGAACACTGTCTAGACAGGGTTAGAAGCAGCAGAAGAGGGTCAGATACGGAGACTCCGAGAGCCGGGAAGCAGCAGCCGTCCGTCCACCCCGGCCCCGGGGCAGAGTTCTAAGGCCTGTCAGGACTGATCACCTTTAGGGCCAGGCCACACGACCTCTTGGAAACCCTGCTCCGGGACACACACACACACACACACACACACACGCTGGACATGAGACACAGGGCAGCAACAGAATACACAGGACAGAGAGAAGACTCCCAGGCAGAGCCCGCAGGCACCCCCTCCTCCCGGACAGCCCAGCCCCACTCACCCGAGCTGGCGGGCCCCGGCTGGGGATGTGTGACTGCCCGGGAGAGCCAACGGTGTCACGCCTCATCGCGAACGGGCCGGCCGCGCACTCCGGAGGCAGAGGCCGGTGGGGGCGGGGAGGCTCGTCCCCGCAGGGCTGGGTTTCGGCAGGCCTGGGGAGACACAGGACCACAGCCTCAGTTCCGGAGTGCCGGCGGGATGTGCACAGACGGCACAAACGCTCCAGGGCTCCGACTGCGTCTGCTGGCACCTCCAGCTTGTAAAACACACGCTCCTCTTGGCTTCTCAGTATTGTAGCATCAAGAGGGCTGAGTCCACAGTGGGAGCTCACTAAAAATCTCCCCCCAACCCGGTTCCTCTGATACTGAGCACCTGCCATGTGCAGAAGGAACGACAAGAAAAATGCCCTGCATTCAGGGAACCCACAGTCTCGGGTAAGAAACACACACACACACGCACGCACACAGAAGCACTGACAATTCCAAGTAATAAACACCATGGCATATACAAGGCGATGTGGGGATCCCGGAAGAGTCCCTAGGCTGGCAGATGACTCCAGAGAACCCACAGTGCTGCCTAACGGGGGAGCTGTCCCTCCTGGCTCAGAAGCAGTTGAATGCTGCATCTGTTAGAGGTCCTGAAATGCCGCCTCAGGGCCTTTGCACCTGCCATGACTGCTTTCTGGGATATCCTTGTCACATGCAGACACAGGACCACCCCTCAGAACACAGCTCAGACATCTCTGCCCCACCCCACCCCCCAACCTGGCACAATCCTCCTCTCACATGTCCATGGAGCTCCAGAGATGCTTGCCAGGGCTCATCATAGTAACACAGTCATATTTAATACTGCATGAGCCTTCGCTTCGTATCCGTCTTTCCCATTCCGTGGCAAGCCCCCTGAGTCCCTAGTAGCTAGCTAGCAGGGCGGCTTGGCATCTAGTAGTAGCGCTGAATACGCAACTGTTGGGTATATAAATAAACGATGGTTGAATGAAAGAATCGATGAACGAAGGATATTCTTCCGCTCCCCACTCCTCTAAGATTCTGAATAGGTACAGGTCCCACGAGCTCCCTGGCAATAAGCCATCCAGGACATAGGAGTTACTCCAGCTCAGGCAAGCTTGGTGGAGACCTACCACAGGGCTGACCCTACCGCAAGTCAACTGCCCCTGGGCGATGGGACCAAAGAGCCGTGAAGGGTTCAGCCGGCTGCTCAGGCTCCCCGGTGTCAGTGCCTAGCACAGGCCCCTGTCAGCCTCCCGCCGTGACCACAGCAGCCCCACACAGTTGTGGGTCACGTCACCAGCTCATCTGCCCACGTGTGGGGGGAACACTTCTCTGCACAGCTTTTACTGGGGAGCAAGTCACCAAGAACGACCCACTGCTAAATTGGGAAGGACGGCGCACGCATGGGTATGGCCCTACTCCGGGATCCTTGAACCCACCTCGCTGGCCACACCGCAGGCAAGGAAAGGGGGAAAGACGCCTGTTGGTCCGTAACCCTCTTAACCAGAACCGTGTCTCTGTTATCTGTGATCTGGTTCCCATCTTGGGCTTCCTCTCGAGTTTCCATTTAAATGCCTGGCAAATACCTGTTATGTAAATATGGCCGCACCGACAATTTCATTACTACATCTGTGAGCAAAGGCCGGGGGAGGCGGGGTCACGATTTTTTAACCACCGCCAAGGACAGCTTAATAACTAACATTTTGAGGTCTGTCCCAAACCTAGAAACACAGGACTCTCAGGGTTTCACTTAACTTGTTGTAAAAAAAAAAAAAAAAAAAAAAATGCAAGGACACAGAGTGGCATGTAGTCTTTAAAACCATACTTTAAAAGCATCACATATGTCACGCTTAATTTAAGACACTTTGGTCTCTTCCAACACACTTCAGAAGCTCACTCACAGAGAGGCCAGCTGCTGTGCAGCCCGCTCGATCTTTTTAAATTTATTAGCATTATGGCCAAAGCCAAGTGAACAATGGCTCCCTGAAAAAAGAAGGGGCACGGAGTGCGAGCCACAAGCCTCCTCTGGTTGTATCTCTATGAATCGAGGCTGATCTGGGAGGTCAGGAGGCCACGGTGGAGCAGGGGCCAGAGCGTGTCTCTCTGACCTCAAGCAGCGGTAGGCAGGCAAGGGGAGGGGGAGACCAGCACAATCAGGGGCGATCTCCCTGAATGGATCTGCAAAGTCTGAAATGCCCATTTCCTGTGAATGTATGCAAAGAAGCCTATTCTCCTGGGAAGTGAGTCACCAGGACCAATAGTTGTTGAAATCAGGCGGGAGTCACTCAGGAGGAGCGGTCCACCTGTCCTTCCTTCCTTCCACAAACCAGCCTCTGGGCTCGGTGCTGGGGGCGCAGCCACGGTGCTCACAGTCCCCTCCCGGGAGAACGGCGCCGGGAGACGGCAAGAGAAACACCTCCATTCAAAACCAAGCAGTTTGGCAGCTTTTCTCTCAGATTCAGAGGCGTGGATTCATTCTAGCAGCTGCTGCAGATCTTTCGTAATTACACCCTTAAATCCGATCTGGGAGCTCACCCGTCATTCACTCAGCCATCTCTGGGTGCCGTTTCCTGGGAATGCCACCATCTGGTGAGGGGTGTGAGCCAGTCCTCACACCTTCCAGTGGCTTCTGGAATGTGACCTGGCCTCCCAAATCTGCAAACCCATCCTGCGTGGTGCCCTGCGCCAGGCGCCCAGGGCAAGCCCGCGCCCACCCAGCACGTCCACCCACGGGCCCCACATGGAAGGGGCCCGATGTCTAATGTCACCGGAGTATATGTCTCTTCTCCTCTCCGTCCCCATGGCAACAGCCCTGCCTCATCCGTTCATTCATTCATCCGTTTCTTCTTCCAATACACAATTATTGAGCACCTACCACATACCGGCCTCTGGGCCAGGTACGAGGGGCACAGCAGTGAATAAAACATGGAGAAAGCCCTGTCCCCACAGTGCTGGCAATCAGGAAGATCGGAATAAGCAACATAAATAAGCAAGGTGCATTGAATGTTAGACAAGGGACAGTAAAGAAGTTAGTGGCCAAGGAAAATTCAAGAAGAAGGACATTTGAAATCCGCCTCCTTGCCGACATTCCCGTCTCTGCTGGTGCCTCCTCCAATCTATTCCAGCAGCAGTGACGTCACCCGCGTTGCTCAGAGCACACACGTGTCCAACTCCTTCCCCGAGACCCCACAGGATCCGGATGCCCTTCATCTCCACCCTGCCCATCTGTCTGTCTCTCACACACACTCACATACTTAGTACCTCAGCACGATGAACCCTGGACAGGTCACAAGGCATGCTAATGCTTTTCCTCGCCTCCACACCTCTATACTGCCATCTCCTATTGCCTGACCAATCCCTGTTCATCCCTCAGTCCTGAGCTCCAAAATGCCACCTCTTCCAGGAAGTCTTCCCTGATGCCCTAGGGCGCTTCAGGTGCTCAAATCCTATCAAAGTCTTGGTGTTTCTACCTTGCCCAGCACTCGATCACACATGTGGTAACTGCCTGTTTCTTCCACTCAACTGGACAGTCCTAGGTCCAGTTCACAGCTGTATCCCTGGGCCTGACACCAGAAGGGACATAAAGCCAGTGGTCAAAAAAAGTATCTGGAGGGAGACCATCTCTGAGAGAAGAAGATAATAGTATCCAGTGTAGGCACGGCTGTAGGAAAACTGATACACTTATCTGCTCCCAGGACTAATGTAACTCAGGAAAGCAATGTGGCAATATTCACTCCCAACTACTATTTTTTGACACTCCATCAAGAGTCAGGCACCACGCTGCATGACTCTGCACCTTCTGCCTTCTCTCATTTAATAGTCTCGGCAAATTATTACCGTAGGAAAATACAGTTCTGACAATGAGGCAGATCATATGCTACCGAAAGGCAGAGCTAGGGTTGGAATCTTCTGAATAGAAATCAAGTGCTTTTCCCCAATATACTCACCCTGCCCCCAGCATGCATTTATTTTTTTAAATGTTTACTTATTTTTCAGCAAGAGGGAGAGTCCACACGTAAGCAAATAGGGGAGGGGGAGAGAGAGAGGGAGTCACAGAATCCAAAGCAGGCTCCAGGCTCTGAGCTGTCAGCACAGAGCCTGCCACGGGGCTCGAACCCACGAACTGTGAGATCATGACCTGAGACGAAGTCAGACGCTGACCCGGCTGCACCACCCAGGCGCCCCGCATTTATTTTTGATTCTGTAACCTTGCTTCTAAGAACGTATCCTATGGAGGGAATCTAAAGGAAGAGAAAGCCATCTAGGCAAAGCTGTCCACTACAGAGTCATTGATGCAAAAGCAAAGTAACAACCATGCCTGGATTCGGGCTCATCACCCTTATTTGGAAAAAAAAAAAAAAAAACACAAAACCCGGGACTCCTACGCCATTTGAGATGTCAAGAAAGTTGCCACGTCAGCAGGGAAACCAGACCTCCAGGGTCCAGCCAGCCCAGGACATCAGGAGAGGCATGAGAACGCTGTCCCACCACAGAAGCAGATCTGCTATGACCCAGCCTTACAGATGAAGAAGATAAAAGCCGGAGCAGGAAGCAACCTCCCCGCGGGCAGCTGGAGGGAGGCTGACCTCACCCTCCTCACTGTCAGATTTCTTCCAGAGTCCACATGGGCTTCACTAGAATAACTGCTTTTTACGATGTTCAGATGCAAAGCACACTTCACAACCATTCGAATGCTGTTATTAAAAAAAAGATGCAAAAAAACAGAACACAAGCAATGTTGGCGAAGACGTGGAAAAACTGGACCCCTGTGTACCACTGTGGGGATCTAAGATGGTGCCGAGGCTGTGGAAAACAGTAGGGCGGATCCTCGAAAACGGAACCCAGAACCACCGTACGGCCCAGCAATCCCACCCATGAAAGCAGGGTCTGGAGCAGATATAGGCAACACCCAAGTTCAAAGCAACGTTACTCATAACAGCCAAAAGGTAGAAAAAACCTAAATGTCCAGCAATAAACAAAATGTGGCATCTCTGCACAGTGGAATATTATTCGGCCTTAAAAAAAGAAGGAAATTCTGGGGCGCCTGGGTGGCTCAATTGACTGGGCGTCCGACTTCGGCTCAGGTCACGATCTCAACGGTGTGTGGGTT